TTAAATAAGCAAACACACCCAGGCCTAATCTAATTCATCTAATTCACCTAAATCTGCGTGTCTTTGGCCTGTGACAGGAAACTGGAACAGGCAGAGGAACCCCCCCCCCACACACACAGGGATAGGATAATGTGCTTTCCAGATAGAAAGAGCCCAGCATGTCAGCTCGGGTTCAAGCCCAGGCCTTCTTCCTGTGAGGCATCATTGCCACCCATTTGTTTTAATGAGGCACAATTGTCATACCTAAGTGTGGGTCAGATGTGGTTACATGACATGGACTGGCTTTAGAGTGTCAGTCATTCATATGCAGCCATTCATTGTCTTTGCAATCTACTGTTATTTAGGAATATAGGGGAGTGGAGATGCCAGAGCCAATCCCAGTATGCACTTAACAGAAGGCAGATATCAAACTCTACAAACCATTAATGATTGGGCTTCAGTGCCACCACTGGAAGTGCTCTATAGAAGCTAATCTAATATTTTTTCAAATGCTGTGAACAGATTGAATAGGCAATGTGATATTAAATACTCAGACAGTTTATTTTGTCTGTAGACATTACATTTTGTTACAGACGGAGCTCACTGTACCTTGATGAAGATTATTAATCTCCTATGAAATGGAAGCAAAGGTTTGCCTTCCTGAAGCTTCTGCTTTATGGACTGAGATATGGGATTCAGTGCAGCGCCTCCAGAATTGCTCCCAATTTAACGTTCAGAGTAAAACCAAATAACGTCTGTGGTTGTGATTGGTAGAAGGTTTAACAGTCTTATCAGCAGACACAGGATATATAATCACAGGGGGATGCTCAAATCATATCGCCCCCACCTGTGAGGCTGCTCTGTCCGCAAAGCCTCTGCGAAGGGAGCTATCAGGTTATTAATCACAGGCAGAACAGCACTGTAGCTGTCACCTGGCTGCTAATGCGTGTGTTCACATACAGTTTCCATCAGATCAGAGCTGGATCTGTTCGGGGTTCACTCTGGTATCTATCTATCTCTCTCTCTCTATCTCTCTCTCTATCTATCTGTCTATCTCTATCTCTCTCTCTATCTGTCTATCTCTCTCTCTCTCTCTATCTGTCTATCTCTCTCTCTCTCTATCTGTCTATCTCTCTCTCTCTCTATCTGTCTATCTGTCTATCTGTCTCTCTATCTCTCTCTCTATCTCTCTCTCTATCTATCTGTCTATCTCTCTCTCTCTCTCTATCTGTCTATCTCTCTCTCTCTCTATCTGTCTATCTCTCTCTCTCTCTCTATCTGTCTGTCTATCTCTCTCTCTCTCTCTATCTGTCTATCTCTCTATCTCTCTCTCTGTCTCTCTCTCTCTCTCTATCTGTGTCTCTCTCTCTCTCTCTATCTGTCTGTCTCTATCTGTCTATCTCTCTCTCTCTCTCTCTGTCTATCTCTCTCTCTCTCTGTCTCTCTCTCTATCTCTCTATCTCTGTCTATCTCTCTCTCTCTATCTCTCTATCTCTGTCTATCTGTCTCTCTCTATATATATCTCTCTCTATCTGTCTAGCTCTCTCTCTCTCTCTGTCTAGCTCTCTCGCTCTCTCTGTCTAGCTCTCTCTCTCTCTCTGTCTCTCTCTCTATCTCTCTATCTCTGTCTATCTCTCTCTCTCTATCTCTCTATCTCTGTCTATCTGTCTCTCTCTATATATATCTCTCTCTATCTGTCTATCTCTGTCTATCTGTCTCTCTCTCTATCTCTCTATCTCTGTCTGTCTCTCTCTCTATATATCTCTCTCTATCTGTCTATCTGTCTATCTCTCTCTCTGTCTCTCTCTCTCTATCTGTCTCTCTCTCTCTGTTTCTCTCTCTCTCTCTCTCTCTATCTCTCTATCTGTCTATCTCTCTCTCTGTCTCTCTCTCTCTCTATCTGTCTCTCTCTCTCTGTTTCTCTCTCTCTCTATCTATCTGTCTATCTATCTATCTCTCTATCTCTCTCTCCCCCCCACCCCTTGGAATTTGTTTGACAATTTGTGTCATTCTCATAGAGAATTCGGTAACACTTTCTATGAAGGTCATCGCTATAATGACTTATGCATATATTTATAACAATATGATGCATCCATAAGACATTATAACAGTTATAATCACTTACAAACATGCATTAGGCGCTATAGCAAAGTTCATAACGTATTATGACCTTTTGATTTAATGTTTTACAACTAATAGTAATACCAGTTTATATCGATGTGCAGCAAGAATCTCCGACCATGTTCCATAACACATTATAACCACCGACTCTGCCTCGTTATAAATACACTTTAGTCACCATTTACAATTAGTGATATAAAATGGAATAATAGCTTATAGTAATGTTTAAAGTTATATAGCATGTCTTTGTTTGCTTTAAGTAAAGTGTTAAAATATCTATGCCTGGATAATATATTACAGGTGGACATAATACCATATGAACTAATTATAAGACCTTATAACACGTAATTGTTTGCTTTAAGTAGTGACACACATTTTGCGCAGGAAAACAACTTTTATTTATGTTTCTTCACTTTATGAACAATCTGTATGAATTTTGAGCATTTTGCAGTTCAGCTCAAAAACATAACATGATTACATCAAGAAAAGTCGTTGTCAGGGTGGTGAAAGATCGCTCAAGAGAAGACCTGTTGCCGACCAACATCGTGTAAGAAGAGGCTCAGATGTTGTCACAGATGAATGGCGAGCCTATGGACAGGCCCTAACAGATGCAGTAGACGATTAAAGACAACCACTTCACAAAACGTAGCCTATTAAAAGACAAGGAAGGGTCATAATACGTTATGAACTTTGCTATAGTTCCTAATGCATGCAATGTTTGTAAGTGATTATAACAATTGTTATAATTTCTTATGAACACATTATATCGTGTTATAAATATATGCATAAGTCATTATAGCGATGACCTTCATAGAAAGTGTTACCGAGAATTCCTTTTTAGTAAAATGCTCTCTCTAGGCCTACCTCTAATAAATGCATCATATCACCAGCTTCTAAAAGAACAATCAGCAGCCAGCAGATTAAGAATGACTGTAGTCAGGAATCGGACTCATATTATTTTCATGTTTCTGCCCTGAAAAAACATGTAATGATTAACTGAAGTTTAAAGTTATGTAGAAGACGGAGTTACTGTCATAGTGTGTATTGTACATAGGGCCAGACTTACTAAAGGTTTGTGTGAGTAAAAATGTGTGCAAACTTGATATCACCCGCAAATTAACATGTAAGCTGATATACCAACAATGGGCACGGAGAATGCCGTCTTCCAAAAGTGCAAGATAGCACCTGTTGTTCATTTAGTACCTTTGCCTTAATGAATATGCAATCCGGGGCGTTTCAGTTTTATTGTGCAAAGTAGTGGGAGGGAAACATGCAAATACATTTGTTTACTACACACAATATGAGCCTAAACGGAAGTTCATGTGAGTGCAACAGCATCTGTATTTAACAGGTGCAAGTGTTGAGCAGAGATGGCTGCTGATATCGTTGTGAGGAGACACAGCCGTAATGAAAGAAGATAATTAGATAATATTAATCTATATTCAATATATAGAAATAAAATTATTTTATTTATTTGATGAACTATTTGAATTGAATTGTTTTTTTTGTATTTTCCTTGAAGCTTTGGCAGTACTGTTGTATTAATATTCATGCCAATAAAGCAAATTTCGTTTTGACCTGACTTCTTTTCTCCTTGAGATGGAAGAAAGTAGAAAGTTGTGTGGCGCTGCGGAGAGCCCCCAGCTGCAGTAGTGCACGGATCACGTGTAAAATTCATCCAGCCAGAGGGAACCATCACCAACTTGTTCACAGCTCGCCGGTCGTAATAGCGACACAACCCATTGTAGGTGATCAGAGAGGGAATGGGGCGTTGGGGTGGACGGGGACAGGAGATCGCGGAGAAACCACGTGCGGACGGTCGGTGACTGTTCCCTCTACCTGGATGAAGCACGATCTGCTGGCATTTCCTTGCGGGTTTCCCAAAGCAGTTTTTCAGGTGTGCTGTCCCAACTACTTAGTGCTATCTTTGGCAGGATGGCCAGGTACATACGATATACACATACTCGGGACTCACTAAATGAAACAAACCAAGGTTTTTATGCAGTGGCCGCTTTCCCTCCCGAGTCTCCATGGCAGAAACCATTAAAACATGCAAAACGCTCATTTAAATACTGCCACCTCCCTTGTGTTTGCACCTGTTGTCATCTATGCAACAATTCTTAGTTAATCACCCATAACAGGTACTTCAATAACACTTGCAATATTTTAGAATGCACACACAATTAAGTACTCTTTATTCGGGATCTTACTAAATCCGGCCCAGAGTGTATGTTTTTGCTGTCAGGTTCAAGTAATACTGACATTCACAGTGTGGCCCATTGAGACTGAGACAGCAGGTGTGTGTTTATGTAAGTGTTGATTGATTTATGATAATGAACTGGTGTCAGCAGATTTATATTTTCACATCACTTCATCTTTCCAGGTCTAATTAGAGAGGTTGAGGTTTCATACCTTTACACAAGAGTCATTTAACAATTTGTGTATTTCTGCCTTTTTAACTGTAATTCCAAAGACCATGAAGAAATGGTGAATGTACATGACATCATTGTCAAGCAAACACTTTTACAGACACAGTTGAACTGTTGAAAGATTAAAATATAGTAAATCAATCATAACAAGGGATGAAAAATACAGAATATCTCCTTGAAAATGTTAAATATCTGTATCAAAATTTAAACTAATGAAACTGGCTTTGGGATGTAATTACTTTAATGAATGCAAAGTGTCAAAATCACCCCCTCTCAATCCTGTAAAGGTATATTATTTAATAAATTTTGACTTCTTTTTAGATACTAGCTAGTGTATGCTTTTCGTTTTTACACATTTGTCCAACAAACCAAAATCAACACTAAATGTAAAGATTATACAATATTATTTCAAATGTTGTTCCCCCCCAAGACCACCCCCAAAATACGAGACACTACACACAGATCCCTTTTTTAAAATGTATTGTATTTTTACAGAACACACAAAAGAACTCCAAAGCCCTTCTCTAACCCACAAATACATACAAAAATATCTAAAATAGTATTGTTTAGTTTTTAAAAAAGCATTTTAATTCACAGATAAAACACTTTGATATAACTTTGGGAAGTTTACTTAGAGAAGTAATGAAGTTAATCAGAGGTACAACAGTCTGTAACAGTTACTTGCTATATAATCCAAAATTAGGAGCCCCTGCTATCGTACCTTTCTCTGAGAAAGTGTGATCTCTCTCACATCTGTTAGTTTCCAAAACCCATTTAGCTATGAGGCTTTGAAGACTGCTTTTTATTTTGCAGTACATAAAGTTATAATACTGTATCTCTGTAAATGTAAATTGTAAAGATTGGATCCAGTGGGAAGGTAGATCCTGTGATATCACTCTGTCATAGATGCTGTACCTGTAACATTTGTGGTCATTCAAGTTTGCACTGATGTAATTTCTATGAAGTGAAGTAGAGTTAAACACACTGAAACAGTGTATTTATATGCATCATAGTGCTGGTTTCTGCATGTAAACATCCTGGTTTCAGAAATCCTTAGTGAAGTCTGCATTCTGGTATCAAAGCCAGAAGGAGTATTGTGATACTATACACCTTAAACAGGTTTCTAATTAGTCTGCAAGCTATGTCGGTGCATCCTCAACTTGAGTCACATTTTAGTGGTTGTCGGACATCCGGTTGTAGAAGCCAAATCCAGCAGATCATGTTAAATCCAACCAGAAACCAAAATGGGTTTATCCTCAACTGCTGAGGTACAGTAACTACTGTGGAAACGTTAAAGAATAGCTGAGATGCACACATGCCTGTACCATCAAAACCTGGATAATGACCTGTTACTCTTTTGTTTCATGTGAACATCATAAGATCAAAACTAGGATGAAACTCATATTGGTTAAATTAGTGCACATGTAACCATACTCCATTGTAGTTTAAAAAAATAAAAATAAATTCAAGCGTCATTCCTGTTACAATGTACAACCCCCATCAATTCATTTGAGAGTACATTTGTGAGATAAATCTATATGCTTTCCCACAACAGCAACATCTGTGAGCACTGGTAAAGTAATGTGAGGTTCTGGGGTTGTTGTAGGAAAGGATCTTGGATGCACATACCAAAAGAGAATCACATGGTATCCAACAGCTGTCTATCAGGTAGAGGTAGATAGATATGTATCCATTTATGTTGCTTAATCTCCAAAACCAGTTTTCAGAATTACTTGAGATCACTTCTCAAAAGGTGTTTTTAGATGAAAGTCCAGTTTTTAAGTGTCCTCACAGAATAAGATGCAACAACCAAAGCAGTGGCCACTAAAGATTGTCACTCCCATGTGCAGCAACTGAGACTGCCGTCCTGAGTCGCTCTAGCAAAGCTGCTGCTGGGCTGCTTAACAGTCGCATATAAATTCTAAACTATTTTTAACAAGAGTCATTGTGAGGCATTTGAATAGATAATGACAGGCACAGATACTGAGGCCTTGTGAGTATTTTAATCTTGACAGTTAATTCTGCCCACCAAGATAATGGTTAGATTCATCCATTTATGTAGAGCATCTTCACTAACCACAGGTTTTAAGGTTATTATCTATTCTATATCTATTATCTCAAGATATCTCGAACTACTTAAAGATCATTTGGACAGTCTTGGTAAGTACTCAGTGTAATCATGAGGTAACAACTTAAGTATCTATAAAAGTTTGGCAAAGGAACCAAAAGGCAGATAACATTTGTTGACTTGTGGTTATCAAAGGCTCATGTTTTAAGAAGGGCAAATCACCAACTTATATAAGATGCAATTAAGGCACTTTATACAGACTATATATTGTCACTTAGAAACAGATACTATTGCTTCTGTGCCACTCACTATAGCAGTTCCTTAAAGTAGTGAAACAAAGTGTTTTTTGACAAGTGCTGCAATAGACTGGCGACTTTCTTTTGCAGACCACACATGCCCTTCTGCCAGCAGTGGCCCGATCTCTGGGCGCCACATTGCTCATTTGTTCAACAAAGTAAGCTGGTAGGTGACCTAAACCTGGAGCATCACAGGCTGTAGCAGGTGGCGCTGTGGAAGGAGAGGCTGGCGAGGCATCGGATGGGGAAGGAGGGGATGTGAACACTACTTTGGAAGGGGTGGCAGAAGGTACTTTGAAAGGAGAGGCCGGCAACATAAAGTTTTGTGGAGTTGACCGACGCGGAGTAGACCCTATCTCAGCCAAGGACAGAATCAGTTGTTCCCTGAAGTTTTTCTGTGTTATTATGTGCTGATTCTGAAGTTTGCACATTTCTTTGTGTAAGATGAAGGCATTCACAGTGGCTATATCCACAAAATGATAAAACAGAGTTTTGTACCATTTCTGGGTTTTGTGGAGGACATTGTAGTAACCAATAAGTGCATCTGATAAGTCGACACCCCCCATGTACTTGTTGTAATCTTTGATGCAGCCTGGAATAGGCACCTGCTTCACTGTCCACTGTCCATCTTTGTCTTTCACTTTGCGCTTTGCCATGTCACTGCTGTATGCTTTGTGAAAAGTGGAGCACATTGTTACCTCCCGGGTGTCTAACCACTTAACAAACAACAACGCTTCTTTTCTGATCCACCGGATAGTTCCCCTTGGTGTTTTCTTCAGCATTTCATTCCTTTTATTTCGGGGATAACCAGCTACGTTAGAACGAAGCGTGCCACATGCCCACATTTTTCTCTGAAGGAGGTCAAGGAAAAGAGTTGGACTGGTGTAAAAGTTGTCCACATAGAGCTTATATCCTTTGCCTAGAAAAGGGATGTTCAGCAGTCTCATGACAGCATCATAGCTTAGCCCCTTCCCTGAAGGTTGACCTTCTCTTCCCCCATACACAAAAAAATTCAGGGTGTAGCCACACACTGAGTCTGCTAAAACAAAAAGCTTAAAGCCCCATTTAGTTGGCTTATTTCTAATGTACTGCTTAAATGAGAACCTTGCTTTACTCGCCACCATCCGTTCATCTATGGAGATATGCTGGTGGGGATGAAAGAATGTGTGGCAGCTCTCCAAAATCTGTTCATATAGTGGCTTTATCTTACAAAGTCTATCATATCCTGGTGTACCCTTCTTCTGGTCATTGGCCGCTTCAACTTCAGGATCATTCATGTGAAGACTGCGGGAAATGGCTAGGAAGCGTCTACAGGGCATGACAGAGGCAGGAAATGGCAGGCAGAACAGTTTAGATCCTCTCCAGAACTCTTTCAGAGTTTTTAGCGGTACAATGCCCATGTAGAGCACAAGGCAGATGAAGGAGTACATATCTGCTGTTGTGACAGGCACCCAGCTTTCCTTCTGGCTTTGACATTTCTTTTTCCCATAGGCGTTGGTGTTTTTTACCAATGTATCAATAACTGTCGTAGAGAAGAACAGCTGGAACAGTTCCAGTGGTGTGTAATTCGCAGTTCTGCTCAGCTGTGGCCCCACGTCCCTCTCAGGTCTGAACCGTGGTTGAGGAGGCTCGACGTCCTCTTCATCAATGTTACGCCATCTCTCTCCATCTTCTGCTTCACCCTCTTCCTCTCTTACATGCGGTCTTTCTGCTTGCCTCTTTCCACTCAGATTTTTCCTGCGTGGAGTGGAGACTCTCTTGCCTGTAGTGGGGGAAGTGGAGTCTTTTTTGGGTGTAGATGTATAGTGGGTCTTCTTTCTGAGGGGACTCTGTTCCCACTTCTTAGCTGGGGATTTTTGGGGTGAAGCAGAAGCAGAGCGGTGACGCTTTCTGAAAGCTCTTGTCTTCATGGGCGTACAATTCCACTCCTCATCTGAACTGTCCTCATCAGTTAAGTCTTCCCTGTTAATAAAGTAGATAGGTAAGGATTATAAATATAGTAGGTTTTACATTTCCTCTGGATAAAACTGTTCATTTAAACTTTCCCCAAACCATGCTGAGGGTCCAGACAGAGGGTGAAACAAACAGTGAATAAAGCAATTCTAAATATAAAAAAACAAACAGTCCAAGCTGGGATAAACCTGATGACATCATCAAGGTTATTTTCTCATACTTGACAAAGCTTCTCCAGAGCCACAGAAGATGTAAGAAAAACTGTTTTCACAGGCTTAGTTGTACTGAACATAATGTATCAAATATAATATAATATAAAGATTGTGTAGGCCTACACCAAGTTGACTAAAAGCTTTTAACTTGGTGTGATTTTGGTGTGCTTACGTAAAAATAATTGTATAAGAAATGTAATCATTTATTGAACGTTAATATCAAGCTGATAAGTCAAAAGATGCATTAAAAAAAAAGTGTGCACTAGGCCAGTGGCTCTCAAAGCGACCCCCTGGGGGTCCTTGAAATGGTTCCAGAAGGTCCCCAGCAAAAAGGGGAATCATTTATCATCAGCTCCATTCATAAGTATCACAGTGAGAGAATGGATTTGTCATGGGTTTCATATACTTTATGTATTACATCTACAAGCAAAGATCTTGTCTGATGGGGATCCGCCCCCACCCACCCCCCAGGCCACCTTTAAAATTCTGTAGCGCCTCTACTGCATAGAATGTTATAGGCCTACTACTTAGGAGAAGTTATAGTGGGCCTCCACATTGTTGCAGAATGAGATGCACACACAGAAATATCAACATGTGTTCACATAGCAGCTGGACAACTAACTGCAGGCGCAAAAACGAGAAGGGTAGCGTGCGCAAAGTCCCGTTGCTGTGAACTTTGTTAAACAGCACTAAACGTCAGCCCTGCGGGTTCACATAGTTAACGTGAGTTTCCCGCGTGGCTTTCCATTGTTCTTGCTGTAGATTTGTAACCAGCGCAAACTGTCTGAGTGCACTGTCAGCAAGTGCAGGAGGGCAGCGTCCTGTGCACATGCACACAAGAGTCTGCAGAGGAGCAGGATAAGCGCAACAGGTATTCTGTACGACTGTACTGTTAATGCTGCACAGTTTTTTGTTTGTTTGAATGTCCCATCTAACCTGCTTTTTAAAAACCATCTGTGATAGCCACTGACTGGTGCCACAGACTAGTCTGGTGGCTCTACTCATCATTTTAATATGCATATGATGTGTGTGTATGTAAGACCAACACGTACTATCTAGTTTAGGCGCGGAATTTCGTATTTAGTTGGCCTGAAGCCTACTCGGTGTATCTGTACTCACTGGTCTGATCCTCGGGCAAGCCCCTTCGGAATGTAGTCCTCGTCCAGACTGCTGTTCTCGCTCTCAGAATCTAAATCTGAGTGGAGCTGGTCTGATTCATCCTCAGACTCGGAAAGAAACATTTCTTAAATCTGACGAGTTTAGCGGTAGACTTTTCCCGTTAAGAGTTTTAGCGGTGTGTGATCTAATCCCGTGAGTCTTCCCACTCGCTCCTTACGCCCACCGGCCTAAACACACTGAATAGAGATTTCTTTTACGCGGCTGTCTCCCCGACAGGATGTGTCGTCTGCCACTTACCATATATGGCTAAGAAGCCTATTTCATTGGCTACAATAGCAGAGCTTTTTGACGGTGACGACTTTCCCACTTGATGGGCCCAGCTGCCAATAAAACATGTGCTCCTGGGATTGGCAGGGGAATTTAAAACTATCTTCGGTCTTTATCCTCGGATTGGTTTGTTATTCTCATGGCCTTCTGCTTGTCTCAGTAGGCCTATTGCTTGATATAATTGGTAATCCATGAACACATAGGCCTACATTTTATTTTAAAAATGAATGACATTCATTTATTTTAGTATGCTTACCATATTAAAATTGTGTCTTTGTTCATCATCACTTACTTAATGCCAGCATTATTTGTAGTAGTTACTGAATTTGACTGATCCCACATTGGGGGTTAATTAGGCAACCTTTGGTTTTAAAACGTTTTATTATAACATGCATATCTTCTTGTCAAAGGTGCTTTTTCTAGCCAGAAGCTCAGTTAATTTGAAGATGCTATAGTTTAGATAGCTCTAGGAAAATGACAAACTGACTACTTTATTTGTTTTTTTAGTATAGTACTATAGAATCAGAGTAATTTAACAGATTAACTGAGGTTAAACAATCAGTTGTTTTAAATGGCATTGCTATCTAGCTGGCTACATCAGGACACCTGTCCAATCACTAAAAATAAATACAGGCTTCATTTACACTTTTCAGACAATGATGTATTGACAGGTTTTACACAAAATGTCACTGCCATAGGATAAATAACAGTATCAGCATTCAGCTGCCCGCATTGCTTAAACCGTAAGTGTGCTGCTATCAGTTTGAATGTTTTTCTTCTACTAGTGACCAGTTGTTTTTTATTACCTAATTAAGGGCAAAGCATGATGGGTAAATCTTTGATGTGTGAGTGCAGAAGCCTCACTATAATCTAAGGCAGCGTCTTTGTCAGCTGCGTGGGCATGATATCTTACAAATATGTGTCTGCTGAGTGACCTTGCTTCCCCTTCCCCATTAAAAATCAGACAGTGGTGTTAGCCACAGGCTGCACAAGTTCCTACTCACTTTTAAAGCCCTTACTTCTTGATAGTGTGTGGAAATGCTGAATGAAGAAGCTCTAATTATACTACTTATTCATCATGCGGACCCTTAACAGAGCTTCACTGAAGGTAGTCATACTCAAACAGTTTTGTGTGCTTCTTTGCACTGCTTTTGCGACAACATATTTAAAGCAGGGAAAGGGTCAGTTCAAGAAAAATCTGATGCCAGCCTAATTTAGTGGAGGTGAATGGAACTCCACATCATAAAATAAAACCTCAAACCTCACTGTAAACACTTGGAGCTACTGTCTGCTGAAGACTGATGAAATTAGTGCTGTATAAATTGAGGTTAAGCTCGGTTTATGTGAGATTTATGGTGCAAGTTATTTTTATTACATGTTTTTTAATTCAGTTTAGCATAAGATAAATGTTTACTCAACATCATCATTTCACAGCACAACAAGATGTGGAAGCAGTAAGTGCTTGCAGAAATTGCTGTACTCTTTCTGGTTACAGCCAGAGTCATGAACAGGTCATGAATTATTCAGTCTGTCAAAGCTGTGATTTCAAATTCTGGACAGTTTAAAGATCCCATTTTACTCACATTTCAGCCTTTTGTGAAGTTGTTTTTCATTACACCATGTCCCAAGATACTGCAAATGTGCCTCATTATTTATTTATTTTTAATTGGTGAAAATCTTGCTGTGCACAGGGTTTACAGAAGGTCCTGCCAGGTACAAACACCAGTAACATGAGCTAATTAATCACCAGAATGTTAGGGGGAAAAGTTTTTGGTGCCACCATTGGGTGTATCTTAAATCTCAGAGTAATGTGCAGTGCATATAAATGTACAGACAGATACATATCTGATAGAAAGTGGACTGGTTGGGGACTTACTTATCTTGGCAAAGGAGAAGTGCTCACTAACACAGATTGTGACAGATTTGTGAACAATTTTTGAGAGAAACGCCTTTTGTGTACATAGAGAAGTCTTAGATCTTTGAGTTCAGCACATGATGAATGGGGGTAAAAACAAAAGTGTTGCGTTTATAATTTTGTTCAGTGTATGAATACTTAGGCTATATGCTTTAAATGTACACTATATGGTTCTTTGATTAAAAAGTCAAACGTACATGCCTTAACTATACTCCCAAGACGCGTTTTCGTATGAAACATCCAATGACAGAGCTTAAAATGTTGTTGCCAGCAGCACTAGCAAGCTGAAGCTAGAGATCAAACTATGTAAAACCCTGTGGCAGTTAGAATTTTGGATACATTGCGGATGAATGCAGCATGTTGCAGTGTTTTGTTTGTTGCAATGACAAAATGTTTTTACTTTGCTACAGCATTTATTTGCACTTCTGACTGGTTTGGCTTCTTCTCCAAGTCCGTGTCAGCTGAGGCTTATGGTTACTATAGTAGCAGATTGACAGAAAAAAATGTTTAGAGCTAGCTATAACATAGACCTCTATTATTAATTTTGTTAAACAGACATGATCCACTTTGTTTTGAGTCATAGGTTTTTTTGCAAAAATAACCCCTGATTAATTCTTTAAAATAATAAAAATAAATGTAAAAATATATATATAGAAATAAACATAATAATAAATAAGTAAATAAACATTGTGTGGATTGTGTGAAACATTGGAATAAATTTGAAAAGCTCTGATACCATATATGGGTCATATGGGTGGACTAGGACGGCAAAGATTAATGGCCGATTTTGTCATTAAAACTGACTTCTGGCAGAAAATACAATGGGGAAAAATTACTTTGACACTTTTGTATGACACTTTTGTATCTTTTGTATGCTGGTTGTATGGAGCTTGAGATGGAAAGCAGTTTTGGATAAAGGAACAAAGCAAAGCCCAGAGAAGACCAGAGTGATCGTGATCTCTGCATGGTGTATCCTTGAGCTGTGTGGAACAGTAGTAGTGTGGTCGTCCTGAACGTGCGTGCAGCTTTTATAACTCTTTCCCCAGATGAAATATATATGGGACATAATGCATATTGCATCCACTTCGATGCCTTGCCCTGTTGTTTTTGACTGCTGTGTAAATACCTGACAGCAAACTGTCAACCTTGACTGAGTTTCTGACTGTGGTGAGCACTTTATGGCGAGCCTTTAAAACTTTCATGACTCTCGGTTAGCACGTGTGTGTTTGAGAGACAGAGATAAGGGGTTAAAGAAAGGCAGAGAGATGAGGAAAGAACAGACGAAAAGTGTTGTTCTTTACCATCCATCTTCTCTCAGCAGCATTCACATGCTGTTGGAAAACACCCCCCTGACACAGTACAGGGCCGATGTTTACTGAGATCGCCATAAAAACGAAAGGAGAATGAATGATTCAGACCACTGCAGCAAAGTCTGCAGCATCTGCTGCTCTCTGGGCTCCCAAGGATTTCTGCTCTCACTGCCGCCTCTCCTTCTGCTCATCTACACCTCCATCTTTATTTTATTCTACTCTCTTTTTCCATTTGCTCTCTACCTAACCAAGCAAATCATCACACCTCCTACTCTCACTATGCTTGCTGCTCACACAGTCCTCTCATGCAGTACACCATCGTTTCTTCTCATACCTACCACCCCCTGATCTGTATTTAACAAGTTAACTCATGTAACTTTTCCCATGGATGTGTTGTAATTTCTACTGTATGTCTCTCTGTCTGAGTTTTGTGTGGATGGTTGATTCACATGCACTGTAGTGATATGTTTATCATTCTGTTTCAGTACTGATTGGAGTTTAGGAATACAGATAAACAGAAAGCCGTGTTTGCATTGTTCACACTTTGCCTTATTTAGTGCCCACAGTGATATATTACAAGCTAAACAAGATATGTTGTTTTATTTCTTCTGGAGAAACCTGATTACTTAGTCATTTGCATAGAAAAGACAAACGTTGGAACCAATTCACAAATTTCTGTGAATTGGTTCCATATTTGTCTATAATGGTGTTCAGAGGGCTGATAAAAGTATCATTTTTGGGAGTGGTAGGAAGTAACTCACATTACTGACCAAAACACCTGAAAGTCAGACTAAATCTTATTCATCCATGGTAGACAACATTTATCTCAAAGCTATTCATTCAGGATTTTAGTTTTGGATGTCCCTTTGAGTCCATGTGGACTACTCTTAAGCGGTCATGGTTTACCAGTAAAAAAATAAAGTCTCATGTTATCTTAGACAAGCTTGCATTTATTTGGAATTCATATCCGAAGAATGCGTGTGAATTTTACCAATTGCTGCACTTTTCTAAATTAAATAATACAATGTAGACACGCAGTAGCAAATTCAGATGAAACAAAATATGTCCCTCAAATCAGGGCTGGACTGGGAATGAATGAAAAATGCTTCAGATTTGTTGACTCAGACCGGCCCACTGAACAACAAACAACCACCACCCACACATCCCAAGCCACACCTAAACAAGATTACTGAACAATATTTATTATAATAATAATATATTTTTTATTATTAACTATTTTATATTAACTATATAATTATAATTTCATATAATAGTATACTATATACCACTAGTATAATATATGTAGAATACAGCAGTTACATTTTGTAGGTTTTAATTAAATCCTGGTGCAAGAAAAATGGTCCTCATTGTAGTTAGTCTGTAGGTTTTTAAATGCTAAGTACTAACTTATCAAAAATCATAACCATTCATGCGTAGCGATTGTAACCATGGACTCTTGATAAACAGTCTGAGTTCAACATTTAGAAAGTTTACTGTTGCACAACAGCCTTTTTAACCTTTTAGCCTTTTGTACCACCAAACCTAAACATTCCTTATCTTATCCCTGTCTTGCTGCTTCAGCTGCAAAATCTTGACTAACAGAAGTGGTATCGCTGGGCTCAGTGGGCTGCTCTCTCTCCTCTC